AAGATGAAGAGCTTAGTTAGTACTTCATAGTCAGACATTCAGAGGAACAGCAATTAAAACTTTTCTCCATTCATGCACACATATATTTACAGTTCTTTGCATTACCAGGGGCATGTTTTATAACCTGATTTGTGGGTGGTCGGTGCAGACAACTGACCTTTCATTATGACAGGAATATACGCTAATGGCATATCATTTTTGACTTCTACTCAGTGGGAGGTGGTACACGACAAACAGACGAGGTCATGCCATGTTTGCAGCTCTGCGCTTCACACTTGCAGCTGTGAATACTAATGAGATGTGTTTTGTCAGTCAAAAGTAATTTTAATTGGCATCAGACCTCCGCGTGCTCTTGCTTGCAGGTCGGCTGTCAGACCTCTGGCTTGGAAAGGGGGAAACTAATGCGAGTAACCAAGTTTAATTTCTCTGACATTTTATACAATACAGTGTTAAAAATTGAACTGCAACAGCAAGTAGAAGCAGGAGCAGCACAAAGTAACCTAACATGAATTGAACCTTTTTTATTTTATTTTTTGTCTCAAGGCATGAAAAATGAACACGACTGCATCCAATGGTTTGTTACACAGAACCATTGGGGAAGTTATTGTTGGAAACTGTTTGGGAAAGGGCAGGTACTCTTTTTTGAATGAACCAAATGTCTATTTTAATAGAACCATATAACGTGTGAAGAGCGAAAACATATTTTCCATCAAGAAAATCCTTCAATGATTGAAGCCTGGCCAGATGGATTCTTGCATGATTTCTTGATCTTGTGAGTCCAGCTGCATTGCAAGGTTAATGAAAACATTGATAAATTAGCACATTATGGATTAATGCTAAAGTAAAAGCAAGCAGTTGTCTATTTACACATCTAACTGATACAGAGCAAAATTAGCATTTCTTTGGAGTCATATCTCTTGCCACCTGAGGAAGGCAAGTCCAATATTCACTCTCCTTTTAACTCTGTTTTGGTCTTGGTTTTGATCACCAGTTTCTAATGGAAATATCGGTCTCTTTAGCTGCTAAATTTACCAGCTAGTTGCTAACTGTGTTAGAGTTTTTTCACATTAAACTGCTGCCTGCCGCTAGAAACCTTGTAAGTGTGGTAGTAAACCAAAAGAGTGAAATAACAGGCCGTAAAAAACAAAACAATGAGCTGAAAGATTCTAAAAAGCTCCGTAGCTGAGAAGGACCTTTGACATTACACATTAGTAATTTGAGCAGCTGTTTACATAAAAATATTGATTAGTGCAGCTTTAACAAAAGACAAGAGACACCTTAGAGAGGTTATGTGGACACCAAGTAATCAAATAACTAGTGGAAATCTGTATTGACTCATTGATCAAGTGCCACCCAAGCATAGGTTATCATAGCCTTGTTTATTAACGAAAACCTTCTTCGTCACCGACTGAGATGACAACTGGACACACATCCCCATGCAGACAGTGATAGTCGATATTATCTATTCACTGGTGCAATTTACTCGTTAAATGAGAACTGATAAGTCTTTTTACCATTAAGCATTTTTCAGTCAGGGCAGTGTTTCCTCCACTATTCTACATTTCTCGACAGGTTTGAGAACTCATTACCTTCTCCCATCTGACAGCTCTACCTGAGGCGGCAGATCAGGAGAGAAGTGAGAAAGAGGGAGAGACAGAGGCAGGGTCAGCCATGAGCATTCACAAAATAACACAACCCCACTGTCAAGGTCTTGTTAGTGTCTTTGTTATCCAGTGACTGAAGAGGAGCCTTTGTGTCTGGCTGAGGTCTAATGGGATGTTGACCCGGCCCTGGTCCTGTCTGTCAAACATCATCACTCTTGACAAAAGATGTGAAAGAGGGGCTAGTAGTGTCCCCATGAAAGCTATTCTTCCCTATATAAGAAAGCCGGGGGCGAGAGAGATGTTGACAGTAGGCAGTTGGGAGCCAATTGCTTAGAAAAGAAAGAAAAAAGCTATCAGTGGTAGAGTCCAAGCAGTGCTTTCATCACACACGCACACAAATATAATGGAACAGCAAATGATTGTTGGATAATTACGCTTAATGCTACAATCTTCAACCAATTAGCTGGGGAGGGTTAAATGGAACACTTCAATCTCTGCAGGGTTTGGACAGCTGCGTAAATGAAGTTCATCTGTGGCATCATTAGATTTCCTTCAGGATCAAGTCAAGGTTATGTGGTCCACGTCAACACACTGTTTTCTGCTAATGAAACTGGATTCTGTGCAGTAAAGTTGTGGTTAGATTGTCAAGCTTCAGGTCACACCACACCATATGAGACCTGTGCGGTGTCTCCTCCTCCAAGTGTGTGAGTGCAGAATAAAAAAAAAAAAAAATAAAACATAAAAAACCTCACCACATCTTGTACCTGCAAACGAGGAGTGATGGTGCCATGAATATTTATCTGCTGCACTCCTAACGTGTCATTTATTTTGTGCAGATACATATCTGTCGGAAGCACCTCTGTTTAGCATAGGTGAATGAACCTGTAATGTGGTACTTCATATTTTTCCGATCTGCGCCACCTCTGTGGCAGTATGGTATTAGGTAGGCGATCAATCATGTCAGTAAATCATCCATGAGAAGGCCAGTGTCAATAAAGGAGGAGGAGCATGAAATGAAAAATCCATCCAATCCAGCACTGAAAACACAGCTACCGGCGGTGCACTTTGCCTTCCATTTTGTTGTTGTCTTTTTCAGCAATATATAACGTCAGTGGTAAACTTCAGGCAGGTTTCAGTCCCTGAAAAGTGAGGACAAAGTGTTTCTTTCTTCAGAATCTCAGCATCTTTAACCAGTTCTGAACAATCATGGGAGGAGATTCGTGCAGAGATTAATAATATGTCCGCTTGCAATTAAAGATGTTAGTTTTTAGTAAAAGGCACAAATCCTTTTCTGGTCGACTGGAGTGCCTCTTGATCTTTATTAACACATAAGTACCACATCAGCGTTTTTGTTTCCATCTACAAGACAAACAGCTGCGTGCAAGTCTGCAACTGTGATAAAATCCTGTGGGATGGAAAGCGAATTTTAACTTAACGTTCTAAATTATAATTGATCAACTCACGACGGTCAGAGTTGGTTATTTGAGGATAAAGGTGGATATACCACTATATCCCCTGAATTTGCATGTGTTGAAACATTAATAATAGACGTTGTCTGACATGACATTTGTTTTCTATTTTGTACATTGTTATATTGTTTATGTGGATATATCAAAGCTTTTCTGAGTTTCCAAGTCACCAAGTTAATATTGACACAATCTGTCTTAAAATGTAGTAATTATATTAACTCTGACATTGCATGAAGGCTGCATGATTGTTTGGAAGTTGTTGAAAGTCATTCTGGGACATGGAGGAAACCACTCTCTGCATCTGGAAGTTATGTGGATAATGACAAATGAGATTAATTAGCATCTATTTTGATTGATTCTGTCTGCACTGTGATCCGATGTTGATATGCAAATCACGCGAGTGGAGCTGGCTGGCTTTTTAACAAATATTGAAGCGATGTTTGATATTCTGAGGAGTTGCTTTGACATACAAGGGATACTTTTCGGTATCCTTGCTTACTTGGCTAACGTTACTTATTCTGTAAGAAGTTTGGAGAAGCTTGCTGTATGGACTCGCAAAGAAGGGTTCGTCTGCTGCTTTTTGTCGTACAGCTTGAGATAGCAGGATGAGGCAGAGCTTGGGGACCTGTCCACTTGTTGGCACATTTCTTCCTTCAGAATTTTAAGTTATCCAATCACAGTGTGTGCCAGGTCTAGCTTATCCACTCGTATACTGATTCTGCATATGTTTCCATTTCCACATTTGCATCAACATGCAATTTTCCTCACTCAGAAAAAATATCCCAATACAGATGCTGTTAGTTTATCATACAGTCAGGATATATTTCAATCTGTAAGTCACATGAGAACATCGTATTGATGTTTGAATTATAATTTTGCTGATAGAAGGCATTGCTGGTGTTGGTTTATTAAACCATTTCCATCAGTCACTTCCTTTCAATCAGTCGTTGCGGGATCGAAGTGGATGGTAGTTATGGTGATTACTATGAATGAATGGAGACCTCACAACCACAGTCTTAATTACATGCTTGCTTGTGTTACGTGCACACAAACACACACACA